CTGGCGGTCAGTTTCAGCAGCGGCTGAATCTGGACGCCAGTTCCGACTTGCATACAGATTCAACTTAAGAACAAACCTACAGTCCCTATCTTGTATGTATCCCGGGGACTGCCTGTATGTGTTACTGTTATAATTCTCCCTGATACTGTACTTCTAATCTGAAAATGTCATTTCATGGTCGTGCATTATGATTTTGAAATAAACAGCTAAAAGTTAAAAAGGACAACAATGCATAGTAGTGATCATGTGTAACTGTTTGATAATCTCATTGTCTTTTATTCCAGTGGTGGAAAGGACAGCTGTTATAATATGATGCAGTGTGTGGCTGCTGGGCATCAGATTGTTGCTCTAGCCAACTTAAGACCTCCTGAAAACACAGGTAAGAATGCTTTATTGCCTGTAAGAAACTTTCTGAAATAGGAAACAGGCAAGACACAGCAGTATCTGAATTAAACCCTGCTATTTTTTCACATTTGGCAGTTATCCTAGGTATCTTTACAGGAAAGATGAAAAAGGGGAGAGAAAATTTAGAGAAATTGTTAAAGCCACATGTGAAGCATCAAATGAGAGAAAACAATACAAAAAAATGAAAAATGGTAAAGAATTATGCAGTTTAAAAGGAGGAAGACCCACAAATACTTTTTTGTACTCCAGTAAGGGGAGCAATGGCAGTACTGAAGATAGTAAAAAATGAGTGACATTTAGAATTGTCATTAAAATATTAAAATAAACAGGAAAGTTTTAGGGTGAGATTTGAAAAATAATTGACTTTTGTGCCATTGGAAGGGGAATGAAGCAGCATGAGTAAAAGAGTGCCACCTTTACTCTCCACACTGTGGAGAGGAGGAGGTGTCCATGCTGGGAGGAGATATTCACATGTGACTTTTTTGTAGAGTAGGTGAATATACATTCAGTAGATCCGGGCAATAGGAGTAAGCACTGGGGGCTAGGTTGGGCCAATTTATTCCCTTGGGACTCAGGACAAACCATCTCTAATCTTATTGAAATGTTTCTTGCAAAACTAGAGTATCCATATAAACATGTAGAATGTTGCCACACAACTCATAAAATGTTCTCTGAAAGTGTACGTACAGGTTGAACCTCTAAAATCCGGGACTCTCTAGTCTGGCAACATCGGACCACATATATTGCTGGACCAGAGATCAAACTAGCTACAGGCATGAAGGGAAACAAGAAGACCTTTTACAATTACATTAAATGCAAGCGGAAGACCAGGGACAGGGTAGGCCCACTGCTTAGTGAGGAGGGAGAAGCAGTAACAGGAAACTTGGAAATGGCAGAGATGCTCAATGACTTCTTTGTTTCGGTCTTCACCGAGAAGTCTGGAGGTGTGCCTAACGTAGTGAATACAAGCAGAGAGAGGGTAAGTTTAGAAGATAGGATACACAAAGAACAAGTTAAAAATCACTTAGGAAAGTTAGATGTCAGCAAGTCACCAGGTCCTGATGAAATGCATCCCAGGATACTCAAGGAGCTGATAGAGGAGCTATCTGAGCCTTTAGCTATGATCTTTGAAAAATCATGGAAGACAGGGGAGATTCCAGAAGACTGGAAAAGGGCAAATATTGTGCCCATCTATAAAAAGGGGAATAAGAACAACCCAGGAAACTACAGACCGGTCAGTTTAACATCTGTCCCAGGGAAGATAATGGAGCAGGTAATTAAGGAAATCATATGCAAACACTTGGAAGGTAATAAAGTGATAGGGAATAGCCAGCATGGGTTTGTGAAGAACAAGTCATGCCAAACTAATCTGATAGCTTTCTTTGATAAGATAACGAGCCTTGTGGATAAGGGAGAAGCGGTGGATGTCATATACCTAGACTTTAGTAAGGCATTTGATACGGTCTCGCATGATATTCTTATTGATAAACTAGGCAAATATAACTTAGATAGGGCCACGATAAGGTGGGTGCATAATTGGCTGGATAACCGTAGTCAGAGAGTTGTTGTTAACGGTGCTAAATCCTGCTGGAAAGGGATAACAAGTGGAGTTCCTCAAGGGTCTGTTTTGGGACCCGTACTGTTCAATATCTTCATCAATGATGTAGATATTGGGATAGAGAGTACGCTTATTAAGTTTGCAGATGATACCAAACTGGGTGGGGTTGCAACTTCTTTGGAGGATAGGGACATAATTCAAAATGACCTTAGCAAGTTAGAGAAATGGTCAGAGGTAAACAGGATGAGGTTTAATAAAGAGAAATGCAAAGTGCTCCACTTAGGAAGGAACAATCAGTTCCATACATACAAGATGGGAAGCGACTGTCTAGGAAGGAGCATGGCAGAAAGGGATCTAGGGGTCATAGTGGACCACAAGTTGAATATGAGTCAACAGTGTGATGCTGTTGCAAAAAAAGCAAATATGATTCTAGGTTGTATCAACAGGTGTGTTGTAAGCAAAACTCGTGAAGTCATTCTGCCGCTCTACTCTGCACTAGTTAGGCCTCAGCTGGAGTACTGTGTCCAGTTCTGGGCGCCACATTTCAAGAAAGATGTGGAGAAATTGGAAAGGGTACAGAGAAGAGCAACAAGAATGATTAAAGGTTTAGAGAACATGACCTATGAAGCCAGGCTTCATGAACTGGGCTTGTTTAGTTTGGAAAAAAGAAGATTAAGGGGGGACATGATAGCGGTTTTCAAATATCTAAAAGGGTGTCACAAGGAGGAAGGAGAAAATTTGTTCCTCTTGGTTTCTGAGGACAGGACAAGGAGTAATGGGCTTAAAGTGCAGCAGGGGAGGTTTAGATTGGACATTAGGAAAAAATTCCTAACTGTCAGGGTGGTCAAATATTGGAATAAATTGCCAAGGGAGGTGGTGGAATCTCCCTCTCTGGAGATATTTAAGAACAGGTTAGATAGACATCTGTCAGGGATGGTGTAGACAGAGCTTGATCCTGCCTTGAGCTAAATACACCCTGGTCTGGGCTGGTGGTGGGGAGCACATCCCTAACGGGGCTGGCACAGTGGGTAGCATAGCCTTGGGCAGGGCTGATTGCAAAGAGCACAGTTCTGATTGGGGCTGGAGGCAGCAGGGTCAGCGACCAGGAATGCAGCTCTGGATGGGTGGGGCTGGTGCAGTGGGAAACACAGCCTCAGTCAGCACTGCTGGAGTGGGGAGTTCAGCCCCAGCCAGTGTTGGAGGCAGTATGGTCTGCAGCCAGGTGCAGAGATCTGGCTGGGGCTGGTGGCAGAGACCTCAGCTCTGGCCATGGCTGGAGTCAGTGGGGTCAGCAGCTGGGCACACAACCCAGACCGACGCAGTGCAGGGTGCAGTCCTGCCCAAGGCTAGAGACAGTGGGGCTGGCACCTGTCCAGGGCTGGCGCGGTGGGGACGCAGCTCCCATCAGGGCTGGCACAATGCAGGGCTGGAGGCAGCAGCAGGGAGCGCAGCGCCTACAGCCAGGTGAGGAGCCTTAACCTTCCCTTATCCAGCAAACTCCATTGTTCAGGACCACTCAGGTCCCGGACAAGGGAGGTTCGACCTGTAGTAGCAAATGTGGTGGAAAGTTAATTGAGGTGCTCCAGGCAGCAGTAGGGTCTGTCCTGTTCATTTTTTTTGTCTTTTATCCCTATTGCCTGGAGAACCTCAAGTAATAAAGTATCTGGATATTCAGAACTAAATGGCAGCTTGAAAGGGACACTGTTCTTTTCAGGCATCAAATTTTATATACATTTAAAAATACTCATATTTTTCTTAGCAAATTAACCAAAATTGATTTTACAAGATAACACCATTGTCACCAACTCGTCGATTGCAATCGACTGGTTGATTGTGGGGGCACAACCAGTCGATTGTGAAGCGTTCCAGCCTGTCCCCTCATTCCCTCCCACCCCCAAGAAGGGGCCTGTGCTGATGCTACCTCCCACAAAAATGGAGGTAGCGCCGGCTTCCTGCGGTGTTTGTGTGTGTGGGGCGGGGGGAATGGGGGAGTCCTGCAGCTGCGAGCCAGGTCCGGCATCTCAGGATGTGCGCAGGCTGCTCTTCCCCTCCCCTAAACAGCCGGGTCTGTCGTGCCACCGGGGACTTCCTTCGCTGTGCTTCCTGCGCGGAGGGCGGGGGGAGGAGGAGTCAGCTTCAATTTATCAGGAAGCAAGCTGGCTGTCATGGGAAGCGTAGGAAGAATGTGCGCTTCCTGAGAAGTTGGAGTTGGCACGCAGTCCTGGGACTCTTACACTCTCCTTCCTTCTCTGCTCCCTCCCCTCAAGCAGGAAGGCAGCAGGGGGAAGGAAGCCCCGGTGGCACAGCAGACCCAGCTTTTCAATAAGCATGCTGGCTGTTTGGGGAGGAGAGAAGCAGCCTGCATGCTTCCTGAGACCCCGGACCTGGCGCTCAGCTGCGGGAACTCCAGGTACCGGCTGAGCTGTCCCTGTCCCCTCCCCCTGGCCAGACCTCTATGAGTACGTGCTCCAGCCCCCACCAGCACCTGCCCCTGGCTAGATCCCTACCAGTAACCCCTCCCTGCATCTTGGCCAGATACCCACCAGCACCCTGCTCCTTCCTCCTGGTCAGACACCTACCCCCAGCTTGCTCCTGGATCCCTCATTTTTGGCCCTGTCTCAGGTTGTAGAGGGGCCCACAAATTCCACTAACCCTGGAACCCCAGAAGAGTTAATTTGGCCTTGAGGCTAGATTGTCATGGGAGTGAGATGTCTCAGTTGGTGCCACATTAGTGAGGTGTGCGGTTTTTTGGAGGGGTTGTTTTTTAGCATCTCACTTGTGTGGCCCAACTGACTTTTCTGTGGGTTAGTGACTCCTGACTCAAAACAGGTTCCCCGCCTCTCTCATAAATAAGACAATGCTGAAACATTTTGCGTCTGATATAATATTTTATTTAAAAAGGAAGCCCGGCCAACATGCCCCCAGTTAGGGCGAAGCCCCATCTGGCCACAGTATCATAACACTCCTGCACCCCCCCAGACTCCAAACCTGAGCCTATCATACACCAGAACCCCCTGTCCTAAGCCTCTCACATCCCCAAACTTCTGCACCCCCACATCCCCAGTCTTCTGCCACAACATTCCTGCATCATCCACACACCGCAAATCTTTGTACTGAGCCCATCATACTCCTGCACATCTTTGTACTGAGCCCATCATACTCCTAAACTCCCTGCCTTGAGCCCCTCACACACCCAACTCAAACTCCTGCACCCACACATCCAAAAGCCTGCGGCTTGCTTAGCATCCCAACTCTGCACCTGACCCCAACACTCTCCAGCCTGGAGCCCCCTCCCAGAGCCAGCATCCACTTCTCCACCTCCCAAATTCCCTCCCAGAGCTTGCACCTCTCACTCCTTCCCATACCTAAATCCCTGATTCTCCCCCTAGAGCCCACACTTCCTGTCTCAACCCAGTGAGAGTGAGTAAGGACTGGGGACATCAAATTATGGAGAGAAGGGGAACAGACAGGGCAGGGCCTCAAGTTAAGGGGTGGAGTCTTGGGAAAGGATGACGGTAGATCTTGGTTTGCCCTGACATTTAAAAAGTGATCTTGGGTGTAAAAAGGTTGGAGACCACTGAAATAACAGAACTCTCTAGACCATTTTGATCAAATACGTGCCTTTGTTACTATTGGAAGTCACTATGCAGATTTAAAAAATAATTTCACTTTATAGTAAAGTCAGCTTCTTTTGTTTATAATGATCAGTTTTAGCATATTATGCTTCAATGAAAGTTTGTTTCACAGCTTGTTTCAGTGAACAGGGGGGCTCAAGAGCCTGCCCTCACTGAACAGCTTGCAGGATCCGAACCAAAATTAAGGAAAGTTCCAGAACTATTCGGGGTAGTCTTAAAATCAAGTGAACTCTATCCAATTTACCAGTGAATTGTAGGTTTGAGCAATAATTAAGTGCTCTTCTTTATTAATCAGTTGAAAAAATTATCAATAATGATCACAGTTGTTGGGTAACTCCTAAGATATGTAATATGTGAATAGCAAGGTTTGGGGGTTGGGGCTGCAAGTTGTGTGGTGAGTTCTACCCCCAATTTTTTAACAGAAAAGTAAATTGAAAAGTCCCAACAACAAAGATTTCCCTTTTACACTGAAATAACGTTCTGTGAGTGTCAGACTGTCACTACTAAATGTATTAATGGTTAAGTTTCAGGAAGTTTTAGCAGCTTATTTCTAACTACTAGAATAAGTGCTGCAGTGTGTTCTATATATATTGCCCTAAGTATGCTTGAAATACAGGTAAAAGCTTTGTGTCTGTGCCTCTGGGCTTGTGCTCCTCATGCATAACAAAACAAAGCCTCGATTGGCTTCCATTGGTTCTGGGTTGGATCCATAGTGGGAATTTTGTGGATGAATCCCAGGAAATAATAGGGGAGAAGTGAACACCCCATTGTGAGGTAGACAGTTGTATGAGACATGTTATTATATGTAAATATATATGGGGAGAAATTCATGTTTTCCCATGTTTGTAGAGATGCCCTTATAGATGTGTGTGTTCGTGAACTAAGGAATATTGATTTTAGGTGCCCTTAGTGCTTGAAGTACAGCATTATGATTTTCTACGAATGCTGAATGATGTACTTAGTGTCATGTTTGTCTCTATTAAATTGTGGTGGTAGCAACGGATGAACTGGACAGCTACATGTATCAGACAGTTGGACATCATGCCATAGACCTGTATGCTGAAGCAATGGACTTGCCCCTCTATCGTCACACCATAAAGGGTACCAGTGTGGACACTGGAAGAGTGTATACCATATGTGAAGGAGATGAGGTTGAAGATCTTTATCACCTTTTGAAACTTGTTAAGGTATGTTGCATGAGGAATTTTACTTTTCAGAATATCAAATAATAGAAGAGCATTAAATAAAACATTATTTTCGGTAAATGATCCCCTTCTCATAGAAAGTTTTAAAAACTTTAAAAAAATGTATTTATACGCCCATGTAATATTTGTTTTCTGTTGTTATTCCTTACAGTATAAATGTATGTGAAATGGAGGTATAGTAGCTTAATCTGTTGTTTACACTTGAGGGAGACCGTACTGATTATCCCATATTTTAAACCAAAAGCCTTAATCATACACAATAAATAGATATCCATAATAAAAAAATGCATGCCAAAGAATTCAGAAAATATATGTATAGAGAATTATTTATTAAGAGAATGTGATCTAAAGTTCTGAGATTTATGCCACTGATGTAATATTTTGCTTGTTTCCCACTGGTTCTCATAGATTTTGTGTGCATTTTACTTATTACTAGTGTACAAGAGATGATGCATTTGCTTTTCCATGGACTTACGTATTATAAAATAAAATCCAAAGTGATAGAAATTATTCATTTTGCATTTCATGCTCCAAGTATTCTCAGGTACTTTACAGTTATGTTTTTTATGTTGGTAGTGCAGTTACTATGTTCAAATGCCATTAGCAGTAGCATAACACATTCATTTTAGCAACAAAATCATTATTTCAATAAAAATTGATATATTGATTAACATCCTGAAATTTATTCTAATGTTTATTGAAAATATCATGGGATCTCTATTACCTGGGTTTAAATCAAATCCTATTGAGATCAGTAGAAAGGCATCCATTGGTTCCAAGGGTTTCTGTATAATAGACAGAAAAGAAGGAACGATAGAGATGAAGTTTCTTCATTGTCTTCATTTTCTTCATTGTCCTGAATGTCTTACAACTGATTGTATTTGTAGCTTCCAGAATACATAACAACATTTTTGTAAAGGTCAGAAGACAGTATTAATTGTGACAGTTGTCACTAAAATGAAATGAATAATTTGAATATTACTTGCAGTTCTAGGAAAAGACTTCCTTAGGTTGCCAGAAAGATCATTCTGATCTCCAATTTAAGTATTTGGTACCTTTCCAACAATAATTTTATTTTATTGGGTTTATAATTGATAAACCTGCAAACTTCATGCTTAAATTGCTTGTTCGTTATTTTATATTAAACATTTTATGAATAAGTTGTTAGTAAAAAGAAGGTTATAGAGATCATAAACTGTCACTCATTATGTCCTCCTTCGGTTGTTTTAAGCTTTATTTAATTTTAGTATCATAAAGTTGGGAATTTCTGAATTGGTTACTCATTCCTCTGAAGTTGCTTTCTTTCTGTCTGCTGTCCTTCCAAAGTTTCTTCTCATGGAATGGGTGATATGTCTGGGATACAGTAAAGTCACAGTCAGTGTCACTGTGATGGAAATCTAGTGGGAAGTGACCTGAACTCAACATGTTATACTCCTACTTTCTGAGACCACATGTTACATTTTCCAAAGCTTTTTAATCAGTGCAAAACTCTCAAAGGCTTCAGAAGGTCAGGATTTTGCCCATAATATCCTTTACTCTGGAGTACAAGATTATTGATGTTCCTTCTAAATCTTTGTGGAACAACAGGACACTGGGGGCAATACAACCAGTCCAGAGAGATCAGTGATTTTTTTTAACAGAATATATATAGGAGGCAGGACAGGTATTTGAGGAAATAAGCTGTAACACTTTTAAAAAGATTTTTGAACCATGACAGCATTGGAGAAGGGAATTACCAATATATGCTATCTATTGGAAGCTTTGTGATAACGGCTTTCGTTAATTAAAAATTGGGAGATTAGTGGCAATTAAGAAGAAATTTCCCTTTCGATCCATGCTGTCTGTAGAGAAATGGATGCTTTGCCACTATCTTTATAGTAACAGACAGTTATGACATAAATTAATGCTAATGTTAAATCTTGACAACTTCTGCTTTGGAAGTTCATACATGATAATTATAACTATAGTTGAAAGAGATGTTATCAAGTTGTCTGGGACTAAATAACTGCTTCTCTCTTTGTGTGGAAATATTAATTCCACAATAGGATATTTTTCAGACATAAATATCGGAAATATATTGCCTTTATGGTAGATATTGTATACCTTACAGTCAAATCCATATATGAAATTCTGATGTAAAAATTGTAATAGAGTTTTTTAATGATCTAATTAATAATTGAGTAATTATAGGAAAGAAGGAACCTAGAGGAGCTATCTATTTTTATGCTTATCTTTACTAGTTTTTAGAAAAAGATGGAATTGTATTTTTTTTTACATTTTGTATGTTAATGGAAGTAACATTGAAATAATTTGATTTTTACTTTAACTAGTTATTTATTACTCTATGCATTTTTGTAACTTTAATGTGCAAGTCTTTAACCACCAATAGCTTTTTTCTACATGATTCCAATTTTCTTTAGATAGTGTTACAAAAATATGTTTTCATAGAAAACTCACTTTACTGCCTGTTGAAAGTAGAAAAAAATAGAAGGTTTTTAATAATTCAGACTTTGTAATAAAAGTCTTAAGGTGGAATAATTTGAAAGTCATGGCCAAAATAACATCACTCTTTTTTTTCATGTAACACTTTGGATTTGAAGATTCAGGAAAGGGTGTGTCTATCTGAAAACCACATTAATATGTCTAGCTTTCAGTTTGTAAAGTATATTTATACTTCAAATGCTCTTTTAATGATACGTTAAAACAAACCACATTGAAAAAAAAGTAATATGAATTGAAAAGTATTAATTATGTAAAAAACAATTTTATGAAAACGGGACTTTTAAAAATGTAAATGTTCTGTAGCATTGTTGAAACCTCACTATAGCAATTTTGTGCTAGTACATAAGACTGCAAGAGTAAAAATGACTTCAGACAAAGTTGTAATAGAGATTTTTAATGATCTAATTGATCATTGTGATGATGTGTTCCACACTCTGAAATGTGTGAAGTAAATTAGATTAATTTTAAAATAGTCTACTGTGATAGGGGATAAATATATATAGCTCCCTTCATTTTACATATAGGACTGGAAGGTACCATTTAGGTCACTTAGGCCATTGATACAAGTACATTGTATGGATTTATACATATAAAAATGCCAAAACACCTACCAGTGGCGATGGCCTGAGTGATGTAAACAGACTCTTCCAGTCCTGTGATTAACCTGTGGGAATATATATATTCTTCAATTTATAGTAGCATGTGTGTTGACTGTGGGATATATACATTCTGAACAATAAAGGATAATTTAATTTTAATATACTAGACAGGTCACTGTGAGGCTTACTGAATCCATGTGTCCACCAGCTATGTGTATTTTCTTGGAGGATTAGAGCCTATGGCCTGATTCAACAAAGCATTTAAGCACCTGTTTAAATACTTTAAGCCATTGGGACTTAAATATGGGCTTTTTAAGTTCTTTACTGATGAAAGCCTAAAATGGTATCAGATCTCCTTAGTTATCTGAATTTTCTTGTAGTATCACATCCTCCTCTTCATAGTATGTGTTCGAAGTCTGAAAAGCACTGAAGGGAGCAGGCCATGGAGAGCCTATACATGGCCATTCTCAGAAACACCTATCATTCATCAGTCGAGGACAGGTACTTAAATAGTCCTCCACTACTGTAGTGCGTGAAGCACAGGTTGGAATGGTGGCAGGTCAATTGAGCTTTGGAGCATTGGATGTTTGTGGGTCTTGTGGTACAGTGGACATATAGATATTACAGCTGGATGCACATTACTTTGTTGGTGTTCTGTACCAGGCTGTTGGGCTTGGATAGAGGATTCTACTCTCCACTTATCTCGTGAGCAGATCTCCTTAGTCACACTGTGTGAAGGAAACCAGAAGTTGGCTCTTAGTTGATAAGGTTTGTTGCTAAAACAACCTTTACAGAGTTCTTCAGGTTCATTCTGTGCTTTTGAGGTAGGGGTGTGTGTGTGTGTGTGTGTGTGTGTGTGTGTGTGTGTGTGTGTGTGTGTGTGTGTGTGTGTGTGTG